GACTCGCTTGAGCCCAGGAGTTGGAGGTTGCTGTGAGCTGTAATGCCACGGCACTCTACCCAAGGGGACAGCTTGAGGCTCTGTCTCCAAAAAAAAAAAATAAATAAATAAATGAGTGACTGCTTCTCTACAGGCAAGCACTTATTCTACACTTAGCATAGGGTAGTAACACCTTCTTGGGTTTTATCATTTGTCTGATGTTCTCTCTTCCTTATGTAATCAAAATTTAGGGGAGTGGGACAGTATAGAGTAATTTGTCCCGGACTTTGACTTGGGTTGCCTGATCATATTTATGTTGTTTCCAAATTTATTACTTCAGTTGATTGGATTACTGATTTGCTTGTGATCCCAGCATTCAAATCTAGGACATTGTAGATAATAACAGGACAAACATATATTGGTAATTTTTTAATCTCCTGAGACAAGGATCATGTTTTGATGAGGTAATAAAGCCCAGTTGATTGCAGGTTGGTAACTAGAAATCTCCAATCACTCTGTGTATCTATCACAGCAAGTAGAGATTTTTCTTTTTTAGCTAGGTAGATGCTGGGTTTATTTAACTAAAATTTGAGGTTATTTTTATGTTCACTATAGATATCTGTGAAATAAAGTAATATTTTTGTATTCCTTAATGCTAAGAAATTAAGACATTCACAGAATGAACAAGGAAGTTAAAGGTAGGAGACTACGTTTTTCTATGAGAACTGTAATCCTACTTGTTTTACTATTGTATGTTAAGTGGACTGCCTGAAAATTGATTAGGAGGGCGGCCCCGAGGGTGGTGGGTTTGAACCCAGCCCCGGCCAAACTGCAACAAAAAATAGCTGGGCATTATGTTGGGCGCCTGTAGTCCCAGCTACTTGGGAGGCTGAGGCAAGAGAATTGCCTAAGCCCACAAGCTGGAGGTTGCTGTGAACTGTGATGCCATGGTACTCTACTGAGGGTGACATAAGACGACTCTGTCTCTAAAGAAAAAAAAAATTGATTAGGAAACCATATATGTTTAATAAGGTTCATTTAAATTATAATCTGTTTTTATTTTTACAGATAATCAAGAAATGAAATCAAGGATATTGGTAAGATTAAAAAATCGATACTCTTTATATTTAACTACAGACAATTGGAAAACAATGGGAAATAAGACCAATTTAGAATAGAAGCAAAAAAGTGATAAGTATTCAGAATTAATTTAATAAGCAAAGTATGAGACTGATTATGAAGGAAAGCTGAAGTTCAGAGAGAAATGAAAGAATTAAATAAATGGAGGACTGTATTTTATTCTTGGGTGTTGATTCTTCCAAAGTCACATTGTAGGCTCAGCGCCTATGGCTCAAGCCGCTAAGGCGCCAGCCACATACACCTAAGGTGGCAGGTTCGAATCCCCAGCCCGGGCCCACCAAACAACAATGATGGCTGCAACCAAAAAATGGCCAGGCATTGTGGCAGGTGCCTGTAGTCCCAGCTACTTGGGAGGCTGAGGCAGGAGACTCGCTTGAGCCCAGGAGTTGGAGGTTGCTGTGAGCGTGATGCCCAGGCACTCTACCCAGGGGGATAGCTTGAGGCTCCGTCTCAAAAAAAAAAAAAAAAGTCACATTGTAAATTCAATACAGTCTCTGTATTTATTTATTCATTTATTTATTTTTTGAGACACAGTCTCACTCTGTTGTTCTGGGTAGAGGGCTGTGGCCTCATAGCTCATAGCAACCTCAAACTCCTAGACTCAAGGGATCCTCTTGCCTCAGCCTCCCGAGTAGCTAGAATTGCCAGGTGCCCACCACAATGCCTGGGTAGTTTTTTCTTCTATTTTAGTACAGATGGGGTCTTGTTCTTACTGAGGCTGTCAACACAGTCACAGTTAGAATATCAGTAAGATTTTTTTTTTCCTGCCAGGGTGGAAAGGTTTAAAAAAATTCAACAGTTTATCTGGAAAAGTAAATCAAAGAGTTCGAAAGGAACTTTCTGAAAATGAATAATAGGAACTTGCTTTGTTAGTTATTAAAACACAATATAGGTCAGGTGTGGTGGCTTATACCTATAATTGTAACACTTTGAGAGGCCAAAGTGGGAGGATCCCTTGAGCCTAGGAGTTCAAGGCTGCCATGAGCTATGATTATATCACTACACTCTAGCCTAGACAACAAAGGGAGACCCTGTCTCAAAAGAAAAAAAAAAAGAAAATATGTTTAGTCTTACTAGGAAGCAAAGAAATGTTAAATAATGAGATTTTCCTTGTTTTCTTGTTAGTTCAGCACAAAGAAAAACGTGATAGTTCCCAGAGTTGACAATGGTGTTAGGAGTTGGTTATTTTCATGCATCATTGATGGGAGGATAAATTGGTAAAATTTTTCTGGAGGGCAATTTGGTAATCTGTGTCAAAATTAAATGTGTGGGCTCGGCCCCTGGGGCTCAAGTGGCTAAGGCACCAGCCACATACACTTAAGGTGGCAGGTTTGAATCCAGCCCAGGCCTGCCAAACAACAATGACAACTGCAACCAAAAAATGGCCGGGCGTTGTGGTGGGTGCCTATGGTCCCAGCTACTTGGGAGGCTGAGGCAGGAGACTCGCTTGAGCCCAAGAGTTGGAGGTTGCTGTGAGCTGTGATGTTATGGCACTCTACCCCGGGGGGACAGCTTTAAGCTCTGTCTCAAAAAAAAAAAAAAAAAATTAAATGTGTGTATAATTTAGCAATCACTGATTATCTTTGGGAGGTAACTGGGGATTTGTGTAGAGGGTATATGAGGGTGTTATCATAGTGCTATTTAAATCTGAGAGTTGGAAGCTGCTTAAATATCCTCTGTAGATAATTAGTTAAATAGTGGAAATCTATTAAGTCAACAAGAAACCTAATGTATATATTCTAATTCATTGACATAAAAATATTCTCTTTCCTAATACATATATTGTGAACTGAAAAATTAGGTTGTAGAACACTCGGTAGAGTATCATCCAGTTATTCTGTGTGTGTGTGTCTTTGGGGTGTGAGTATACATACACCCCATCTTGCCCACATAGACGCTCTCTAGAAGGGTGTTCGTCAAGCTATTTACAAGGTATATCTCCGGGTGGTAGGATTTAGGGAGAAATTTTGTTGTCATCTTTACATTTGAGGTATTATTTAATAATAAACGGGAAGACAAATTGGAAAAATTATATTAATCATAGCTCACTGTATATTGTGTGACACTTGAGTCAGAGTACTGAGTGAGACATTTGAAAGGGATGTGCCTGAGAGGTATTAACATTGCTGTGATTTTTTTAGGTGATTAAGGCTGCAGAAGACAGTGCATTGCAATATATGAACTTCATGAATGTCATCTTTGCAGCACAGAAACAGGTGAATTGAGAACCTACCTTTAAAAAAAAATACTTGTTGGCTCGGCGCCTATAGCTCAACCGGCTAAAGCGCCAGCCACGTACACCTAAGGTGGCGGGTTCAAATCCCCAGCCTGGACCCGCCAAACAACAATGACGGCTGCAACCAAAAAATAGCC